CCAAAATCTGCCACCTGAAGAAATCATGCATACTAGTAATTAGTATATACTTAAATCAATTAGCTATCAGCCAATAAAAACATTAATTATATCCTTAAACTTTTTCTAGGCTAAAGCCATATGTAACAACATATATTAACCCTACCTTAGCTTCGAAACTAAAGTCAATCAGAATATTTGCAGCCTTAATGTCGCGGTGGATAATCTTGGGGTGACCTGCAAGTATCAAAATACACTATAACTAAGGTACCAAAGAGCAATAGATCAAAAGAAAAGATAGCTGCAGTTTCACAAATTACTTACAGTCTTCGTGCAAGTAAGCAAGCCCTTTAGCCGATCCCAACGCAATTTTGGCCCTGCTGCCCCATTCCAAGGGTGGCCGATTTGATCCTGTAAAATAGTGATATTAATTAAGACTTGTTAAATTACTAACTTTTAATTACTAAGTAATGAAGGATTTCATTTTAAAGTTATAGGTGAGTCTAAATATAAACATATGAAATATTGTCACATAGTCGAGATTTAAACAGTTGGAATAATAGTTTAGTTGCGTACCGTGAAGGTGGAATTCGAGGTTGTTGTTAGGAACAAATTCATACACCAACAGCTTTCGTTCTCCTTCAAGGCAGTACCCCACAAGTGACACAAGGTGGCGATGATGAACACGACTAATGATCTCAACCTCGGCTGCAAATTCACGGTCGCCTTGTCCGCTACCCGCTTTGAGGCTCTTCACAGCGATTTCCTTGCCGTTTGGCAACACCCCTTTGTGCACGTACCCGAAACCACCTTGGCCTATTAGCTTAGCTGGCGCAAACCCTGATGTTGCAGCCGCCATTTCATCAAAGGTGAAAGTGCTCTTGTTGAACCCGAGAGCCACATTAGGGTGTGGCGGCGGCAAGGGGGGACCATGTGGACCGGAGAAGTTGGAGGAACTCATTTCGCTGCTCATCATGGGTGGTGGTGGAGCTGTAGTCCAACCTCCATTGGGTGCGCGGCCAGAAGGAGGCATGTTCATAATGTGCTCAGTACTTTTAGGTCCAGTGCTTTGCCAATAGTTACTTCCTGCTCATGCACATTACCCAAATTATATAAAATATAAATTAGTCATTAAGGTTTAAGTACAAAATATTAATTTCCATCAACATTACTATTATTTATCACTAAGAAATAATCAAGTGCCATTGGGTAGAATGAGATTTTAAAATGACAATTTTATACATGTCTGTAAATAAATAAGATATCCACGGGGCCACAAACTAAGCCAAGATGATCAATAAGAATGTCCATGCAAATAAATAAAAAAAGTATAAATGCTATACCATTAGATTTTGAAGAAGAAATTATGAGTTTGAAGAGTTGGAGTTTAGACATTACCATTTGGATTATACGGCTCAGGGTTCTCCATGAGGTGAGAAGAAGTCTGTCTCTTCTTCCTCCTCTTAGTGCACGCCAAGAAGAACAACACCATGACAAGCAACAAAACCCCTGCCGCAGCTACAACTCCTACGATGATGGGTGTGGAGCTCGAACTCGAGTGCGAAGGCGGCGGCGACCCATCATTATCAAGTGATGGATGGGACTTGCCTGATATGGCTGGGGGTGACCAATTATTGGACGATTTTGGTGACCAATTGTTCCCATTGGATGATTTGTTGTTATTATTATGGTTGTTGTTATTATTATGGTTGTTTTGGTTGTTGTTGTTGTTTTGGTTGTTTTGGTTGTTTTGGTTGTTGTTGCTGTTTCCGTTGTTGTTATGATTCCCTCCATTATTGTTATTGTTAGAGGACGATGGAGGACTCTTTTGAGAATTGGACTGTGAAGGGGACTTTTGGTTTTGGTTGTTTGAGTCATTTGAGTTGTTGTTGGAATTGTTGGAGTTGTTGTTGGAATTGTTGGAGTTGTTGTTGTTGGAATTGTCGTTGGAAGGCGGTGAGTTGTTCGAGTTGTTGCTGGGAGGCGATGAGTTATTCGAATTGTTCGAGTTGTCTGATTTGTTGTTTGAGTTATTCGAATTGTTGGAGGAGGAGCCACCTGAGTTGTTAGAGTTGTTGGAAGAGTTGCCGCCGGAGGACTTGTCTGAGTTGTTGTTGGAAGGCGGGGATGAGCTGTTTGAGTTTCCTGAAGATGACGAGCCGCCGTTTGAGTTGTTTGAGGAGGATGAGTCGCTTGGAGGCGGTG